TTTTATAATATTCAATGGTCAGATCTCTTAATAACAACTTATTAACAAGGAGCAATTGTAATAATATTGCATACATGTTACACATAGGTAGACAATAATTATCGTAAATGACTTTATTGACCTCTATATTTCATTCGTTTCAGGAAGTACGAATTCTTCAGGGGTATTCTTATCATTTTATTCCTCAAATGTCGCAAACTCTGTTGTTTCGGGATTAAGTTTTAGGATTAAGGGAAGGTTGGAAAACGCCAACAGAAGGTAACTGCAGTGGGTATCATGATAGGATGATACAAAAGAAACGTGTAAATGTTTTTGTTGATACAAGTGTGAACGCGTCTTGAACAATTATGTGCGTACGTCGTTAACTAGGAACTCTCACTTCAGAAGAGGAGAGAGAGGGCAAAAATGAAAAAGACAATAGATTGTCGTTAGGATTGAGTCAATTTTTTCGAAATAGCAAATAAGAACGAGAGGAAATGAATTTCCTGAAATAAATTCGAATTTTATGCATTTACATCATGTACAAATGTGTGAAATACAGAAAAAGAAAATTTTCATTTCAACAGTTTATTAAAGTTCTTAACTCAATAAAATCCTTGGAGGAAGAAATAAATTTCTGTTGAATCAACGCATCTATAAATTGTTATAAAAAATGTGACTTTTCAAATTGTGTTTAAAATTGTGAATTTTTTAAATTCATTTTTACAATTTATATTCTTAAGCTACTTTAAAAACGCGTTGCTACTAATGGAAATAAATGTCTTGTGTTAGGTAGACAAGGAAATGAAAGCTCTAGGGCGATTCATTGAAGTTTCCATGTCACAATTAAAGGTTTCATGACGTGAACATATTGACAATCGTAGGCTATGATTATATTAAAAATATATTTTATAAATTATTGTTATTATAAATGGAGTATGATGATGTATGTGATATTTTAATAATTAAGTTTTTTTTGCTCAAATAATTTATCATACTTATTTTTAAGAATTATGATTTGAATATAAAAAGTTCTTTGCTATGCATGAATACTATACACCTTGCATTTCCGTCGTGGACATATAAAAAAAAGTGTTAGTATTACTTATCGATTCAGTAAAAACTTGCTTACGAATAATATTATCGAAGGAAATATTATTGCAATACGTTTTTTATTGAAGTGTTAGTTCGAACAACATCCAATTCTGGTCGTGGACACATGGAAAGTACTTTGACTTATTGTTAGCGCGTCGTGCGCATGACTCAACGTCACAAAATGGCGGACGAATCGAAAAAACAACACAGTGGTTCCAACTTCATCACCGATGACAACGTTTAGTTCCTTGTTTTTGTTTCAGAGAAATTCTCATGAGAATAATCGAAAACTTTTGTAACAATTAATCTCTGGCACTCATCACTCATTTCAGGCATGTAACATTATTTCGACCATTATTTTTATATTATAGTGACATTTGTGCGTCTTACATTGTTCCTGTGAAACTCTACATTTCCTCTATGATTCGAAAGCAATTGCTCTGAAAGTTTCTGTCTCCGCGTTTTATGTGATGATTTAAATATTATTCTTAGAAAGACGCTTTAATATTTACATTCTTGCTTTAAGAATGAATTTCTTTGTATATCACAATTTTTTTCATATCACATACCTATATAAGCTGAGAACAACTTCCTATTACCGTAATAAGACATAATGAATTGAATTTTTGTAAAATATTAATAGAAGTTTGATTTTGTTGAATACTTCTGTTGAAAGGATATTCAAGCCTTAATTGGGCAAGTTTCGTAGCCTATATAAGATTTTTAAGCCATTCATTCTGTTTGCTTCCGATTTAACGCTTTCATAAACTTTGAATATATATTCTTCAAGGAAGATAATGAGATACATTACGAAGGAGTACCTCGCAGGCTATTAACGTACGGTAAAACTTTCTAAAGGAACATAGTTCGTTTAACCTCACAATTTCACGTTAGCCACTCCAATTAATTATTTTAAAGAGCCGAGAACAATTGATGATAAACATGACTTTCTTAGACATCAAGTGCTATTGTACTTTTTATGACTATTCAGTCCTGAATTATTTCTTCTTATTACTACTTTAAATTCGTATATTAATTATAAAACCTAGAGACTTTATTACCGATTATCCCTAGGGACTACAAATTCTATACAGGATCTTCCAGAAATACTCCAACTTGAACCTAAAAAGTGAAGTTACATATACGGGCCACATTATTTTATTTTACTATTTCTGTTATAATAACCCAAAATAAGAATGACTTTGAAATTAAAGTTGATAAAAAAGTTACAAAACATTAATAAAAAATTATTATTTGGAACAAATGTTTTGGATTATTATTGAGTTGATCATAGAATATAATTAGAAACTTGAACATAATAGTTACATTTTTTTGATTTTTATTATTGCAGACAAGCACTAATAGACAAAATACAAATAAAGGGAAGTTTCAAAATTATATGAAAACGTTTGCAATATATGGAAGACAATCAAATTCATTTTACTGTTGTTATATTATACATTAAAATTGAAATTTGAAATACACTCATTCATACTCCATAGCGATGTATAAAACACAAGAATTTCAAACTAGGGACTGAAATGTTATCTGCTGTGTGTAATTGACACTAAAATATAGCATGTTCTTTTGTAAACGAAATTTAAATTCGATCATCGAATCTTAATTTCAAATTACAGTAAAATCGTTGGAGATTGAACTTCGACCTCAATTTACTAAAAAAAAAATTCAATTTTATATTGTGCAATAAGTTCATCAAGATGCATTAGGATCCTCGCTAGCAAGCTACGTTCCTGGGTCTGTACGTAGTACGTGCACGTATGCCCATCGGCTCTATCCGTGGATTACATAGACTCTAGCTTGAAGACCAGCGAGGGAGGAAGCAGCGGAGTGTTTGTAGCAGGGAATGCGAAAGGTGGTGGGAGTACTCGTAGCTAGGCTGATGGTAGGGAAGGTATATGGAGGTGGTGGTGGCGATGGCGGCGGCTGCGCCGGGTATTTGGCCTGGGCAGCCGGCAATTCGGTGGATAGAAAGAGAAAGACGATCGGAATGGAAAGGCAGTCAGGTTAGCCGAGCAACGGTGGGAGAGGCTAGGGACGAGGCGAGACAAGCGATTTAGCTGCTGCTGGTTCGGCAAGCCACGAGTTCGAGTGTCGAGGTCCCGTTGCCCGTGCCGTGCCTGCACCGCCGGGAGAGGCGTCATGAAAGCGCGCCAGTTGACCGAGTGTAACTCTCGTCGGACGAAACATTATATTTCTCATCGTTGATACTGCATTGTCTGTCGTTCTCCGTTTTTCGTGGTGAACCTGTTTTCGTTAGCGCGCGTGTTGCACCAGCTCGTGGTTGTCAGTTTCCCTACGTTCTCCCGTTGAGTGATGTGTCCTGCCTTGTTCCCGAAATCGCCGATACCCTTACCAGTGAACTAGGACAAGGTGTGCTCGTCAACGGACGTGGTACGGGTTGTTACGACGAAAATATCCGGGTTATGCGTTCTGTGATACAACGGTTTCATCGGTTCTGTGATCGTACTCGGAATGGTACCTTGACATATTGATCCCGCAGGTGTGGCCTCCACGAGGAAACCGAAGAGCGATCGAAAGAATGAAAACTCGTTTCTGTCAATAGGTACAGGTCAGTTTCGTCTGTGCCGATAAGTTCCGTTTCGTGGTCGGCATTTCACCTTGACGTTAGGGAGATTGGATGTGGCGGCACGTTTCGACCGATAGTTTGACTGTGAATCAGTGCTGAGTACGGCAACCACGCGAAACCGTCAAATATCTCAGTGTAGAATCACCTTGGGTACCGAACACACAAAGGGGCAAGACTGGGCTGAATTCGAATTCTCTTCACGTTCCGTGCCGTTTTCTATTCACACACTCCGACGACGAGCCGTCGTTATAACGTTAACGCGGGCCGTTTACATTCCAGAAAATAGTTGAAAGGCAGATTCAATAAATCAACGAGAAACGAAGAGAAGTTGGCCCAGAGTGTTAAGCCACAAATTTTCTGTCGCTCGATTCGTTACTTCGTCGTCTCTCGCCTGCGCTGAAGGGGTGGCATCCCTCCCGGTCGTTATCCTATCCGAAGTGTCCCGAACGAGGCGAGCGTTCCAAGGGGCGAAAAGTCTTATCTGGAAACGAGCATTTCGTCGCGGATTCTACTTAACAGAAGTACATTACAGTGTTATCGAACATGCCTGTCGCCAATAAATGCGATTGTTCTCGGTGATCCAATTCAACGGTCGATCGACGGTATGTCGGTCGTGTCAGCGTGTCCAGTGACTTTCTAGTCTGAATACTAGGAGGGTCGAATTAAAAGTTGTCACCGAATTGTATACCGGGGGCCGAACAGCTTTCGCAGTCATGACGGAAGGCGGAACCAGAAGAGCGAGAAAAAAGAAGGCCACGTGATCCCCGTTCTCGTTCTTCGAACACTCGATTAGGAATTACCGGGAAAGACTCGACCGAAGTGGTGAAAATCGGCAGAGAACGGCGCGCGGTTTGTTCGTGGCACGGGTGACACGTGGGCATCGTAACATTCCATCGAGCGTAACCAAAATTTCCGTGACGAAGGCAAAAGAATAAAAAGAGGAGTGTTCCGGTTAATCAAACTGAGGTCAGCTTTGCGGATGGATATGGCAGCAGCTGTCGTTCCTTCTGGTGTTCCTCGCGCTCGCTGTTGTTATCGACACCGTGCTACCTGTCAGTCGGGCGAACAGGTGTTGTTGCAAGGTGTCCAGGGTGGGATACGTGATTTCTCGTGATACGAGGCACGCGGAGGAAATTCCAGTGTCGTCGATCGATCGAAAGACAGCGGTGGCACGTTCTCGGATGCCCGAAAGTGTTTACCGGCGAGATTTTTAGTGAGCAAGTAGGCTAGAACAGAGGAGGAAAAAGGGGGTGAAAGATAGGAAGGAAGCTGAAGTGGATAGAATTCGTTGCATCGTTGCCACATGATTTCGTTAAGAATGAAGAGTACGGTTGTCAGTCACCGAGAGCCGAAATCCACCTTTTACGGCACTCTGCTTTTCTTTTTGACGCTGCTTGCTGAGGTGAGTGGAATGGAGACGGATAATCGTATGAATCTAGGACGTTGTTGGTCGAATGCCTTTCTGCGAACAACTTGTACGATGCACGAGAGTATGACACTTGAGACACGATGTCTGCGATTACATTCACTTCGATCTGAAACGTTTTGGTCTGTTTACCGCCACTTTTCTTCTTGGCTTTAATGTACACCTGGTTATTAACAATAACAGTCAGTATTCTGTCATAAACAATTTGTTTTTAGAAAAATTCGTTAAGGAATTTCTACGAATTTTGTTACTATTGAGGATAATATTAACAATGATACTTTGTTACATCCTTTTTTAGGGTAACAATTAATAGCGTTCATGCTGTTATCAAATTTTACTGCTTTCTAAATATTATTTTCACTTGATTACTATCTCTAACTATTTGTCCGTCGTTAATTAACATTTACCCTGTAAGGTACATATTAAGTATACCAATAAGTAATCCACTATATTTTGAAGAAATCAGAAGCCTATACTGTTTTTGCAGCATTTTCGTTTTGTAACTACTAATATGTAAATGTTTATCCTAACCTTAGTTTAAAAATTTGTATATACTTTCTGTTCGATATAATGTTTTCATTGAATATAAGATTTTACACGACATTCGGAGTATCTATATAGCACTTATTACTCGAGCAGAGAATAATTAATCTGCTTACCTAATCCACTATTTATTTTGAGCGATGTATACGTCTTATAATTAGACCACCTTCATAATCTCTGATATAATTATGAAAAAAAAAACGGAAGAAACCGTTTCTCGACAAGTAAATATTTAATTTAACTGATTAATAGAACATTTTAAAGCAATAAGTACATAATACTGCATTATCTTTATAACTGTACGACGATAAGTTAAATCCTTTCGAGATACTCAATCTCTTGGTTTGCAAAGTAGTAGTACTTTTTACGATTATACATATCATAAAACAATACAAACTTATCGTTATATATAAATATACTATTAATTTCGTTTACAGTTTCAAACAGTAACACTACAATACAATTGTGAATTCTTTCCTTTCGTGAGTTTTATAAAGCAATTAATTTTTTGTCTATTTTTCAGAAACATATTGCGTAATGAAACAATTTCTGTATATTGTTCTTAACAGTGAACTTTCTACTAGTCCACTAAATCTCAGAAGCATTAAATACTTACTCGATAATACATTTAACAAAGATACAGGAATGTAGAAAAAGTGTTAATGGAAATCCTAGATAAAATACAGTAAAGTTTAGAATAGTGCAAAAAATATAGATCGGATCAGTAAAATCAGTCCATGTCCATTTTTTTTGTTTAATCCGAACAAATTTTCGTTGATATTCAATAGTCTGTCGGTTATCGCAATTAATTCTGTAAATACACGAAGCGAAGCATTTATTGGTGAAAATTAAATTACTACATTATTCAGAATATCGTTAGGAATATTTCACTTGTAAACATATATGACGAAGAGTTCACCACGAAAATGCATACAAGCACGACATACATTGGACACTAATGAGGTCCAGTTCAGGGGGAAGCAAGTTCCTTGCTGAATGCTTTAACCTGCAGTCTAACGACGTATTATGAGTGAGAACGTCGATCACCACTAATTAAGAGGTCAGACCAGTGTAATGGTAAAAAAAAATCGAAAATTTGTTTTCCGCATTTTTCAGTAGTCAGAAAAACAAGCCCCTAAAATAGTTTTTTGAAATTCAAGCGGAAAATGAAATTAAAAATTTCCTTATTTACTCTTATTCCTTATAAACTCTTGCACGAATAATTCGCAAAAATACACTCTTCCGTTACTTACACGCGTGTGGTGGGACAATGTTATGTGACCTGTGTGGTGGGGTATCACATACACCAATTTTTAAAAAAATTTTAGTTCTGTGTGTATTTAATTTAACTATGCACAAAATAATTAGAAATTGCTCTTTACTCTAAAATAAACGCGTGTAGGTCCCAATCTTACCTCGCGGAGGACAGTAATCAACGATCAAAGGCCCTTTTGTTGATCTACGAAAAGGAACAAACAATGTTTCCAGACGTCGAAAAACAATGATGTTTACAAAAAGGACACGTGAGAACGGACGATTAAATACAGCCGACAATTTGTGATCAATTCACGAGCAGCCGAGCTGGAATTAAATAAAAATTGTCCTTAACATCTTAACTGCACGACGCTAAACACGTCTATAAACAGAAGAACATGGTTAGAGGGCAGCTACTGACTCAGTAAAAATGTAATACCATTTCTCGAAGCGGTAGAGAATATCATACCCCACAGTCGTCGGGTTAATTATTTATGGACATGTACAAGGAAAAAGAAGTCAAAAACGACATAAACCATGTAACGACAAGGTCTTTTTATCGGCTTATCATGAAATTCCTAAACGTTGAAACCACTTCCTTATCCAATGTATACCGTGCTTAAGTTTATTTTTATAATAGAAGCCACGCCCACTGATCAACGATATTTCCAGACAGATGTTATAAATGGCAGTGAAATTTTATTTTAATTAGAAGATTATTTTCATCGTTTTTTATGATTACATTCATGTCTCCAGCTGATAGTTGTCATGCGTATATTGTGATAGGTTTTCATGTTGTTTGTATTATTCTATCCTGTTCACTTTTACTGTAATTACGAAACGAAGCATTCCCAAATGGAGATATGATCATTTCGCACGCATCCCGGACCTGACTGTACCCGGTCTTATTGTGGTATGAGTTTCACAATTCGTAATTTCCGTGAAATGAATCGTTTCCTTAGACGGAAATCCAGCGTGACGAACGTTGAAACGTCATTTGGACAAGCACATTGTCACGTATACATATAGTCGTTTCTTGGACCACGAATTCAGGGGTCAATGGGCATCAGTGCATTTACACGAGACATCGTACTCGACAGTTGGGAAAGTCAGCCGAGTTTCGCAACCCGGGGACCGAAATCGGCCAAGCAAAGAAGATTACCATAGATGTTGTCAGGGTTCCCCTTCACCGAACGCTGACAAAATCAATGATTTTATTTCATTGCTAGCTTCTTTCGCATTTATTAACGCGATCATTTTGTAATCCTGTTCAATTGAAATCAGCAATGTTGGAATGAATAGTACATACTAACTATTTGAGTCCGTCATTTAAAAAATGTACACCATAGTGACTATAGTCAGTTCTTTTAAATTTTAGCGTTTTATTTATCATATAATGTTTATTTGACTAATTTATATGACATCCTACAATTTTGACCGTCAGTTTAATGATCATGCATAATAATTAGTTAACGAATATTTGTAATGAAAATCAAACGTTTCAATTAATTTACCTACACAAGTTATCTATCATAGCAAAGCGAAGTACTAATAGTAAAAATAATATCTTTTTAATGATCTGAAAAGAAATTATTGTTGTCTCATCAGAACTATTTCTGATCATTTAATAGTTGGAAATAATAGTGGAAATTAAGTTTTCTTGTGAACAATAAAATACAAAGCAAACATTACATAAAAGAAAAAAATTCTACTTTAAAGCAATTAAAATTACGAATTACTGAGGATTTATCGATACTGTAAGTAATATAAATTATTTAGTAACGCCCCCGCAATAGTTTTATAATTATAGACCACTATAGAAGAAGAAAATCTACTGTGGTGAATGGTAATGCATTCGACATATTTTTCTTAAATGAATAGATAAAATCAAAGCTGTATAAACATGTTGATTAGCAGAAAACCTGAAATAATTAAAAAAGAAATACGGAAACATATGGGAACAAAATCAAGTACGGAAATACGTAAAATACGGAAACCATCGAATATATAAAATATAAACACGGAACTTACCAGATAGTTGAATCGTATTCATGAAATATCGAAAATTTCACACCAAAGCTACATGTGGACTCAGAATATATTAAAACCGATTCACACAATTCTGTGAAAAGTATCGTCAATTTGTAGCAATGTTTGTTTGTCACATTTTCACATTTCTTAGAAATCAATGTGTGATATATTATCCGATTGGGTCACCTTTGCCAATCTAAATTTGTTAAATAATGTGCTACACAAATTTTTTTCATTGGAAATAAATTGTAAATTTATGCACATAAACATCTTATTTCATGTAATCATTTATTTTATGTATGATTCATCGTGTTCCTGAAATTAAAAATGTTTATCTCTGCTTTAAAAGTTATTGTTTTATTTATTGTTGAATGGTTCTTTGACATGTACATGTACGATATGCAAAGAACATTTGTCCTTCTAACATTATTTTGTTAGAAAAACTGTAGGCATGGACTGATAATGTTTCAGTCGGGTTACAAATACATGTTACTCCAACTATAAAAAGGGCACGAAGTTATCTTGCAATTAAATAAATGCAGCTCCTTTTCCCTCTGGAAAATATGGTAATTTTTATTTCAACATTGACCAGTGACAAGTGGAATATAGTAGAAGTGTTAATAATTGCAAACAATGCAACAGTGCTCAACCCTCGTGCAGTGTTCAATAAATTATTGTATTACTATTTCTTTAATTCAATTGGTCCTGAATTAAAATCGAATTAAGGTAACATATTTGCCTATCGTTAAATTGTAATATATGTAAGTTATTAACGTCAAATTAACTAAAAAATTTCTATTATAAAAGATATAATTAACAGTGCAGGAGGGTTAATGCCTAAGTACCATAAAAATAATCTATACTAAACAATAACTAGAGTATTTAGTAATTTCCACAAAAATGTAAACAATTTCCCTCGAAGAGTGGAAATGATATTTCCTTTATTGTATTTTAACACACTTCAATTAACATGGTGACCATTACGATTTATACGTTCCAATCATCTTACATCTATAGAATGCACGACTGTCTGAAACTCAATCTAACAAATTGTTTAATAATGTTCAGAAAGGTTCTCATTTCATTTGGCATTTCATGGAACCGTTAGTAAACACTTTTTATTTGAATTACAATTTCTACAAATTAAT